CCCCCCCCCCCCCCCCCACCCCCCCTAACCCCCCCCCACCCACCCCCTCCCCCACCCACCCACCCAAATAAACCAAAACCCCCACACTCCACACCAAAACCTATAAACCTAAACCGCCAACCACATGACCCAACACCACAACCCAAAAACCCAAACCCTAAACCCTCAGCCCTAAACCCTAAACCCTAAACCCTAAACCCTACACCCTAACCCCTAAACCCTAAGCCCTCAGCCCTAAACCCTCAACCCTAACCCCTAAACCCTAAACCCTAAACCCTAAACCCTAAACCCTCACAATCATGCCCCATATGCAATATTCTAAACCTGAGTTCCGGGCAAAGTTCGAGGGTCCGGTTAATCCCTGATGCCCTGTTGAAACCTTTGAGGTAGTGCACTAGAAAGCACCACCCGCGCTTTTTGCAAAATGTTGCTGCTGTGGTGGATATTGAATTTTAATATTTCTGGCACAGTCCAAAATTCATCATTCAAAAAATGGCGTAGATTGTTAAAGACATGCTTTCTAACTCATGTACATGCCAAGCATCGTGAGTATTATATCGGACAAACAGTTTTCTCGGCTTATTAGGGTCATGAAAGCGTAATGTTTACCCAGTTTTTGCTTCGATGTTGGAAGTAGTCCCGATAGTCGTGTTGTGGCTCTACCCCGTAGTATTGTCCTGCAGGTTTTTGATCAAAAACCTCCAACAATTATGCCTCTTGATATATTGAATTTCTGTACCTTTTTAAGTTTTCTCCAGTGGTCCTTTGTACAGAGATTTGTATGGGTGCGGCTACTCAGTTCTTTTGCGGGGAGACGAGCTACGATGGGCATAAACACCAATAATGCTTATGAACAGGTGTTGACGCAGTATCCTAATTGCGCCTGGCCAAATTCAGATAGCTTCAAGTGTGAAACATTTTGTGTGTATGCTGCTCGGCGACTAACCAGTAGGCCCTAGCCGTTCCGCTTCCCTGAGGCTACAGCTTCTTGGGTGGCCCACCACTTAGAGAAGCGCATGGCCTTGAAATGCATTCTTAAATATGTGCCACGAATCAATTTATGCATCTTATGGATCTTTTACCAGGTCTTACTGCATCAATGCTTCATGCAACAATTTCGGAAGGCTCATGGACCGGTTGCACCTGGAAACCCTCGGTCTGTAGAGCACTTTGCATCACACATAGTTTTCGGTCAATCATCCTATTTGATTCCAAATACAAAATCCATATTTCTAATTAAGGCTACGAAAGTAGATTGCTGGACTATTTCACCTTCTGCCAGAAAAACGCCTTGGTGGCAAAAGTGACCCAACCATTTTTATGAAGTATGGCTCGGTGCCTGCCCCCAATACGAGCCTAGAGCTAATATTGGTTTACTGCCTGAAATTTTCCTGCCGAAGGTAGGCAACACAGGGATACCTCATTAATTTTGTACAGAGCAGCAAGGAGGGGCGAAGACCAGGACGGAGCGCTCTAGAGCTTTACTCAAAGACGTGACTGCTTACTCTAATTTGCTGAAGGTTTCCTCACAGCCATACCAGACCCCCAAGGCTTAATCCTTTTAGAAATGGCATCAATTACCCCTCGGGAACGCTGGATGGTGTCGCAAGTTGTTACGGCCTTTCAACTGGCTCCCTACGAATCCGCCATTCAGACCCTATTCAGAAACCGATTTGCATCGAAAATCGACCCGTTCCTTAAAGGCTTATCATCATCTCAGCACTTACTCTTTTTCTATGAAGGCGGCAATGAGCCTTCCACGCACCCAGGGCCCATTATCGACAAGCTTTCCTGCTCAGGTTCGCCTGGTATGAGGGGAAATTTGGTCCTCCGACGCTAATGTATTATGCTATAGCACAAAGCTTAAAGCTGACCAGATGAAAAAAACTGGAATATCGGACAAGGACTGCGACTTTTGGCTACGGGGCTTACTCAGATGGGCTCAGCAGCTGTGTTTAATCTTGCGTTTGTGGGGATGCTATCGTGCCAAATGCGCCTTGTAGACCTGCACTTGCCATTTACTCCTAAGATAGCTTGTCTGCATTGTGCTACAGAAGGAATATCAATGGATCCGGATTGCGGGTTTGTCTACTTTATTAGGACGATTGCCTTTCGGAAGCCTGTGAATCTGAACATAGCCGGCGACGCGGACCTGGTTTTTGGCCAGTTCCCACAATTGCCGCTTCAGAGTCTACATAGCACGCTACGCAGCTTTTTTCTGCCTGCCGTAGAATACTTCGACAATTCAGACTGGTGTGCCCACCGGAACTGCATCTAAGCGTCTTTAGGTCTGCAACGTACTCTGGAGCTTGGCTCAGAAGATTCTTACTAGCAGAGTGCCCACCAAAGGGCAGGAAATCTTATGCTTTGCTGACCTTTTTCTCACCCATTAAGAAGGTTTTCCGAAGCATCTGATGCTGTATCAAAGCAGCACATTCACTTGTTTTGTTCTTCATCGGCATCGCAGTGAGCAAAGTAGTGCTCCCTCCGTATGCCCATGCCTCAGGAAGAAATGTAGCCACAATCAGCGAAACGACCTTATCAGATTTACCAGCAACTTCTGCAAAGAGCTGGGCGAAGCAATCGATTCCTTCACAGATGGCATTCAGCTCAGAAAGCCCGATCCAAGGTATCCAGGATATGTGGTCGCTTGCACATAGTGGGCATCACAACTACACCTCTCTCCTGATTAGCTCATCTCATTGACTTTACCCTACTCCTGGGTCCGGGGGAACAGTGAGCTGCTAGAAAATAGAGACGCTAAGAGACGGCTCCAAATATGGTGTCCTCCCTGCCACAGGTTCTCCCTAATTGAAATCAGAATGGACTATCTCCGTGCTTGCCGGAATCCTGACATCGTGTCTCACTTTGAGGAGCTTCTGGATGAATGGTGCAGACAGATCGAAAAGTACTTGGAGGCTTCCTCGGATGCTGGAGCAACACAAACCGACGGGGGCCCTCGTAGCGAGGCAAGGACATTACATGGAGTACCCGTATTTAGCGGTTTTGGCACGGCTATCTGTGGGGGGCCTCTAAAGCATTAGGGAGCTGCACAGACAAAGACACACATTTTACCTCATGCATCAGAAGATGCGCTGTGAAACAGTGAACAGTGTGCTGGATTGTACTTAGATTGAAAGCTGGAGGACTAAAATGAGGAGGCTTAGTTCAATAATTCACCAGCTGAAGAGCGACACTTGTCACACAGTATTCCAGGTTTTACAGGCCGTCACGAAAGTGAGTTCGAGCTCTATCAGTGTCACATATTTCTCTAGTTGTTTTTAGTTTCCCCCACTGCGGGCTCCGGCCGGCGCAAGGATGTGTATGCATTCTATCTGCCACCGAAAACCGGTATAATCTATGAGCTGGCGCTCCACAAAGAGCTTTACATCTGCGTAAAGTTGCTTGTGATGGCAGCTAAGCCCCAGCGTATCTCCGAAGTCTCGGCAGGCAGTCTTCCATACGCTTAGAAGGTGCAAACAGCTTGACATTGCGATTACTGAGGCATTCAACGAGGCCAGGGACAACGTAAAGTATTTGACAACGTTGGAGCGCTTTATTGACCCCCTTTACTCTGGTATCGATTCCCCGGCTGCTCTTAAGTGCTTTTAATCTGGCTCACAAATGTATATCTGCCCGAAGTACCGGCACTGCTCCATCTAAGGTCTCCGTAGGGAGACACTCACTGCAGACTTAGTACAAAGAATAGAACACTGTTACGGTTTCTCCGAGCGAGCTTTTACCCTTCCCTGCCTGCGCTCCTCAGAGTTCCGATGCAAGGGGAATGTGGCAGCTAGTGTGCGCGTAGATGCACCCTCTAAGCACTCCACGCACCCACAGCTAGCTCTACACAAGATGTTGAACACACGCAGACAACAGTTCGTCTCATTGCATCGAGCAGGCAATCACCTACAATAAATAAAATATACAAACAGACAGATAGAAAAGGTGGCCCCATGCTACATATATCTAATAGCAAAAATTTGCCGAAGTGTAGCTTGGCTGGCTAGACACAAAGTGCTTGCTTATGCCTACGCATGCCAAAATCAAAGTCGTCGTACTGATTTCGTCACTTGCTGCCTTCAGGAGCCCCGTCAAACGTTTTTGAGAGTCTCAACGCCTTAATGAACGCAATCGCTATGATATACTCAATATCGCGATACTACAATACGAGTGAACGAATGGCTGCCTTTTTTACCAAGATAACAAAACAGGCAAGACCCTGCTTCGGCGGAACCAGTAGTCCCCATGTGCCCGTCGGGTAGATGGTAGCCCTTTGCTGCCGCTGGTAGCCTCAGAAAAAGTAAATTAGCCAAAGATAGTGCTCGATCTACCTGCAGATGGTCGCCAATTGCCGGGCGTGGCTCTTGAATGGCGAGCACCATGAAGCTTTGTGGGATCGAGAGCCTCAAACCATCATCCCTATGCTTCAATACTGTTTAAATTTAAATGATGCATACCATTATCACTATCGGCTAACTAAGGAAAGACTTGTCAGCATTTCAACTGGGAAACAGCTTGATGTCTCAGAGCAGGATATATTTGGCAGGATGGATCTATTCTGTAGACGAGTTCAGAAGCTCATTACAATGGTTGGTGTACCTCAGGTTTTAGAGTAAATAATAGCCTTAGATGTTTAACAAATGCTGACAGAGATCAACAAGGAAACTACAAACATTGCACTAATCGCTTTACTTTCATGTTGTGGTTCTTTCTTTTGATATTAAACGACAGTATTCGACCACCCAGCAGTTTAAAAGCATTTCCGACCAGCGCTTTGAAGGAATGGAATCATATGTTGAGCGGTTCAAGGTGGGTATCCATGAGTACTTCTGGATAGGCGTGCCTTTTACCGAAAGTAGAGGGATTGCTGGCAGTGCTGCTGCCAATCTGCTCACCTGCTATGAAGTGCTCCCTTCCCTTGGTCACTTTCTCTGGCTGCGCATTCAGTCAATTTTCAACGACTTCAAGGCAAAACGGCATGACCTTTTGGATTGCTACAACAATCGCTTTGACCGAGATTTTATCGAGTTTTCTGTCCGTGTTTCGGATCTGGAGAGCTCCTTGGGTCCACATATCAACCAGGTAGAAGTAGCTTCTAGCCCAAGGCAGTGCTTATTTGAAGTGAGAGTGTGCTGCGTGTGTATCACTGACTATGTATGGGAAGGCAGTTCGGCTTTTCCAACTTGCAGATCTTTGAGACAAGCTTGTCTATTGACGATTCATTAGCACTACTTCAAAAATTTCAAGAAATAGTGACCAATGAAAGCCTCAAAGCGGAGCTAAGTGGGAAAATAAACCTGATTGTACACCGCTACAGCATTGAGCTGACCCAGGTATGGACATAGCCAACCTTTACATAGCTCACTCACTTTAAAATGCACCAGTGCCCCAGTGAAAGAAGGACTCACTAATTCCTGTTTTTCATAGATCCAAGAGGAATACGAGCGACGCAGGACCATCCCTCCAACGAGCAAAGACATGCCACCAATCCCTACCAACATCATCTGGGCTCGCGATCTCCTTAAAAAGATAGAGGTGGCGTTGTTACTCATATAAATCCAACATAAGATACGCGCCGCATTTTGATTCCTTTTGTAACATGTCGATTCTTCCGTACGAGTGCATCGAGCGACAGAATACGCATCTGCTGTCCGTTTTGTATATTGGTGCCCTATTCCCTTTTTAGGACCCAATGAAAAAGCTGCAGGGGCATCCGTCCGCCATTAAGACAAAGGAGGGCAAGCGTGCGATCAAGTTGTACAATAGAGTGAGCACGCAAACTGCTTGTATTACATGCCTAATCATCCCTTTGTGTTAAGCAGGATATCAGGGTGTGACCAACATCCCTAACGTGTTAACGTCAAATGGTGTCGATGGAGCACATAGTTAGGTCTCGCTGTATTGTATGAAACTCTTCACCAAAAGAGCTAATGTGGATCTTTTGGCGACTCGCTGCTGCCTTTAGGTGGCTGAAGCCCTCGTTGAATACGAGCTGCGATGGCATCAAGCATGGATGGATTCTGTTCAAACTACAGCTCAGGCAATGAATTGTAGTCTGCTTGCGCGGGATCCTAGCACTGGAAAACTGTTGGTTTGTTTTGATCCAGATATTGCACGACTGATCCGGGAGGCTAAAGTCTTTGATCGAATGGATATGGAAGTACCCGACAGCGGCCGCGTTGTTTTCTTGAGAGAAAAAAAGCTGAAGCGGTGCCACGACGAACTCAAATTCATCCTTCAAGTGTGATAGCTCCCCTATGCCATGTTGCTCATACCCTGAGATGCTTCACCTGGCTTCCGGATTAGATTAGTTGTGATGGTTACAGAACTGCTTGCTCACATTGACCTTGACCAAGCGAAAAGGCCTTTTGAGTCAGTTCTTCTTCCCAGTTAATGTGAGTGCACTGGACCCAAGATACATACAAGTAATTGAAAGCCTATAATGGTTATGCCAGATGGGATATATGGTGCATTCCAGGAGTACCAAAGGGTGGCAGCTACAATCCGACCTGTAACAGCGAGCCTTCTGCAGCGGCATCTAGAAACCTTCGAAAATCGTCTGAGTCCTGGAATTACAAGCATAACCTGGGCCTCCCTCAACATTGAGAGCTTTTTGCAATCTGCGAGTAACAATTTGGAAATACTAGAGCTGCTGGTTGTGACACTCAACGACATTGTAGAAAACAGAATCGAAAGCAACATAAAAGTGAGTTCCTGCTTTCCCTGGTGGCTGGCCTGAAGTCCGCAATATAACAAATAGAAATCCTAGGTGCCTCAGCACATATATGGGCATGCAGTCTCTATCCGAAATAGTCCTTGTCGACCTGCCGGCTCCTGGAGAAGTCATATCCCTAAGTCGCTTTGTCGAGATGCAAGAGCATCACGTGTATAAGTCGGCAGGGCTCCTGAATGCGCGCTCGCTGGAAATCGAGAACGCCGTAAAAGATCTTCTTGAGGCTATTGAAAAACAGCCTATTGACGACGGCATCCGCGTAAGCATGCAAATGAGTTTTGACTTTGGCTATTGGGCACCTGTAGTGCCGGCAAGCCGAATTTTGTTGAGGCGGGGGTACAGAGGTGCATTCTAGTCTTGACTCAATATTGGAAAGTTTGGCCTACTATCCGCCTTGCAGGCACTCAATCCAGACGAAGCAACAAAAGTTACCGCTCAGTATGAGTGGAGCCTCTATAATGCCCTCCTAGTCGCCACTAGGAGGTCACTAGACTTCTTGAGGCGTCAGATATATGTCTCTCCCGAAGGTAACGTGCTAGGGCTGAGCGATTAAGCCTGAGGCAATCGTTTTACTGCTACCCACATACAATTGCATGACTGCGTGGAGTTGGTGAATATAGCATAACTAATCGATCTACACGAGCCATGATGACTCGGAAATAAAACTTTTACCCCCGAATCCTGAGGCCTAAACCCAAGAGAATTGAAGAATGTCAAAAGCCCTCTGAAGATGAGGCTTTCCGGTGGTGCTGACACACTTAATCGAGTAGACGTCTGCGTGTATTGCTTGCTTTTCAGGCTTAGGGAATTTGGACTGTCCTGTTCACTGTGTTTTCGAAGTTGACTTGCAGCTGGATGGTACGGGAGTGCGCCTGCACCCGTCCATTGAGGAGTTTCACGAAGCAATAAACTGTTCAGCTGTTGCTATCTTGAACTGTTCAAAATGCGTTCAGCAGTGGGAAACCAAGGACGCACAACATGCAGGAAACATGGCACCTGCACTACTCTCAACTAGCTTTGGTGACCGGCTTACAGAAGAGAGGTGCATACAAAAAGTCTTATTGGGATTTTTAGGTTCTATTCAAAATATAAAAGATGAAGTGGACAAATACCTTGTCAAATTTGACGTAAGTTTACTTGATGGACAAGAATTGGCGAACAGTCAACCGGTTTATTTCGTAAACTTTTTGATACTTCAAGAAAGTGCAAGCAAATGCACTCGTTGTGCCCTGCATATGTGTGCCTTCTCCTAGGTCTTTAAGTGGCTTTGGGTAGAACCCTGCAAGGAAAATTACAAGGCATTCGCTCAGCGAAACCCATCAATGGAAGACTTCGAGAAAAAGCTAAAGACTTTCCAGGATGTCGAAGCAGAATTACAGTCAATGGAGTCCACTAGACCTATTGGAATGCTTCAAATAAACACCTCAGCGCTCTATCCTCAGGTGAAAGCCTTTACAGTTGCAGATCCATGTCAAAAATGACAAATTTGGCAATGGCTAAGTTTGGCTTGGACCACAGCAGCTTGTCATGGGGAATTTCGTGTGCTTTGCATCCGGTGTACTGTGGCCAGGTCAGCAATAGCTGCAAATTATAGCTATAAGTAGTTTCAAATCAGTCTTGCATATTGCGATGAACTTTATGATTGCCTTTCAGCTGATAGAATTAGCTCGTTCATGGAATATCTACTACCTTCGCAAATTACACAGTACGGCTAAAGAACAGTTGGAGGGTCTCACAGAGCAAATCAGACAAAAGTCGAAAGGGCTTCATCGGCCTGTCTCTGACATTGATGCTTTGAGGCACGTCATGGATATAGTCACATCCATCGCGCAGCAGGAGTCAGGTAGGCACAACTATGCACCAAATGTCCTCAGCTACTGGTTGAGGAAATCGCATACTGTGAACTCATCTTCGCAGCAGTTTTTTTAGTGCTCTGTCCCAAGAGTCTGCTGTGCATCATTGTATCAGACATTGAAATACAGTTTGAGCCTGTGTTCACGATGTACAACATGATAGATCGATATCTGCCTAGTAGTGTAACTCTCATCGACAAAGACGAACAAGATCAAAGACTACTGCTGCGTTCATCATGGGCGAAGTTGCTTGCTGAGGCTCAGCAAGCACAAGCACGTCTACAGATGATGCAGGCAACATACAAGCGGGAACTCATTCTTAATATCAATACATTGAAGGCGGATGCTAGACAGTTCCGGGAAGATTTTGTCAAAAATGGACCTGCGTTGCCGGGAATAAGGCCTAGGTGAGTGACCCTATCCAAGTTTCATACTTCGAGTATCGTATGCATGTCCAGTCGTGTGGGTCTCGCACACCCGGGTTCTTTCTATGCATGCTATGGAACACAACTGCTGAAATGTTTAACTTCTAGGGATGCCGTAGAACGAGTTAAGAGATTCAAATCAGAATATGACGTTCGAGCCCGGAAACAGGAAATCTATCACGCAGGGGAAGAACTTTTTGGCTTTCCTCACCAGACATACCCAGAACTCGAGCAAACAAAAAAGGAATTGACGAACTTGACTGCATTATACGATATTTATGTCCAGGTGACCAGGCCCAGCATAACTTTCAGCACGACTCCTCAAAGTGCGATCACGGTGCTAGAAAATTATTTTGACCCATAAATGTCAGGAGTAAAGATGCTCATGTGTTGGAACTGCCCTCCAGGTCATTGATACTATTAAAGACTGGAAGGATATATTATGGACCGAGGCTCCTCCTCAAATCCCATTAATGTCCGAAAGGATTCAATACTTTTCAGACGCGTGCAAGAGGCTGCCGAAGCAATTGAAGGCATCCGATGCATTTTCTGAACTTAAAAAGGAAATCGATGACTTTACTGAGGTAACTGATCGCAGGCCACTCAGTGTTTGTGCCCCCACAAAAGTGCTTCTACCAGTCAAACAACTGAGAGTGCAGTGCTTGTCTATTCAGGTCTTACCACTCCTAAAAGAGCTAAGCAAGCCTTCCATCGTACAGCGTCACTGGAAGCAAGTGGAAGAAGTTACTGGGAAGGTCCTTGGAGTTGAAAATGAAATGACACGCCTGCAAACCCTCATTGAGGCAGACCTGCTTCAGTACAAAGTGCGTGTTCCTGCCGCTTCCGTATCTCAACCTCCATTGAAGTTCCTTATGTTCCATATTTCAGTCGATGCGTTGGCTTTTAATACCTTGATATTTGTTTGTAGGATGATATATTCGATATTTGCGAGTCGGCCGACAAGCAACTGGTGATAGAGGGGAAATTAACTGAAATAGAAAACTTGTGGAGGACTTGCATGCTTGAATTTGGCAAGTGGAAAAGTCGGTAGGTCGCGCACCAGTGATTTATTTTGGCACATTGTGAGGATACCTTTGCTTTATTGCTGAAAACACGATGGACGAGAGCGAGAAACGATGCCATGAGCTCGTCTTTTTTTTTACAGTACACAAATACGTGTATTCCACATACCCACGTGCGCGTATTATTTACAGTGACTACAGCTGCATTCTGCAAGGAGGCCGAGTATCGGAAATACAAGAGCAGCTCGAGGAATCACAGATGTCTCTAAATACAATGAATGCGATGCGGCATGTCCTACCGTTTAAGGAAAGAGTGGTGAACATGCTCAGCACCCTCTCCGATGTCGCAGGTAAGCCTTGACCCCCGCTAAATCATTTTACTAGGACGTGCATGCACCATTCCAACGTTTACCATAATCCTTCAGCCATATGCGTCACTGTCTCATAATGTTGCTCCTCGCGTGCAGACACTCTCGAAAGCTGGACGAAGGTTCAGGTCTTGTGGACCTCCCTAGAACCAGTGTTCACCGGCGGTGATATCGCCAAGCAGATGCCCGGGGAAGCAAAAAGGTTTCATGCAATCGACAAAGATTGGGTAAGGTCATCACAGGCTGTACGCTACCTGCGCAGCCTCCTGATTTAGCAGGGCCTCAAAATACATGTGAGCCATCCGACGGTGCAGTCGCATCGGCGAATCAAGCAATCCTAAGGTTTCTACGTGGATGCATTTCAGGCTAGAATTATGGCAAGAGCATCAGAGACGCTTGTTGTTGTCGAATGCTGTCAAAATGAACTTTTGAAGCAGCTCCTCCCTACGCTATTTTCTGGGCTAGAGAGCTGCCAGAAATCACTGGAGTCTTACCTTGAAGGAAAGCGCAACAAGTTCCCGCGATTCTATTTTGTCTCTAATCCAGTGCTACTAAAAATCCTTTCTCAGGGATCCGATGCAGAAGCAGTTCAAGACGACTTCGAAAAACTGTTTGACGCAATATCCAGGGTATGAACTTCGATAGCGGCGTATTCATGGCAACTGTTCTAGCTTCATGCAGTAGGCTGGACCACAAGGGCTTCGAGTGGATGGTACACTACTTTTGCCAACACTCCTTTCTGCAGGTCGACTTTGACAAGGCAGACAGAAAGAAAATTACAGCAATTCAAGCTGTGTCCGGATCAGCTCAGGAAGTGGTCCCACTAGCTGCCCCAGTTAAAGTAGAAGGGAATATAGAGGACTGGCTACGCTTTCTAGAGACCCAAATGCAGAAATCAATTAAGAGGGAGTGCAGCTATGCAGCGCATGAATCGGGTTCTATATACAGTCAGCTGACACTAAGGGAATTCTGCGACAAGTATATTGCCCAAGTGTGTCTGAGACCCTGGTTGTGTGCAACGAAATAGAAGCATATTTCAGTCCTCAGGAAGGACGTGTCTGGCACTTTGCTAGAGAATAGCTGTAATGCGGCCGCTTTACGTCTGTGTTTCTAAAAATACTTTGCACGCTGGGTACTGGATTTAGGTCTCGCTTCTCGGAATTCAGATGCTCTGGACGGCTGACTGCCAGGACGCCCTTGACAAGATGTCTAGGGAACGCGATAGAGCTGTAATGGCCCAAACAAACAAAAAGTTTGCCACAATGATGGCAGACCTTGTACAGTGTTGTCTCTCCGACCTGGAAACCAGTCTTCAGCGCACAAAATACGAAACGCTTGTCACTGTTCACGTACACCAGGTAACTTAACACAGCACAGTCCCATCCATTTCTCTTAGCAAGCAATAAAATGGATTTGAATCATTCCAACATTGACAGGCACATGCTTTGGATGAATAGTGTGAGCATGAATGACTTACGCACGCGGCATACTGATTGAAGGAAAATACCTTCCAGGCCTACATCGTGAAACGCTAGGCTGTTGCGGGCCTGCTGTCGATATCCAGCGTGATGTTTTTACAGATATTTGGAAGAAAGTGAAGGAGCACCGGATTAAGGATGCCAGCGATTTTGAATGGCTCAAACAGACCCGCTTATACTGGAACGCCGACACCGAAAACACGCTTATCTCAATTGCTGACGTCGAGTTTTCCTATTGCCATGAATATTTGGGTGTTAAGGAGCGTTTGGCAATTACTCCATTGACGGACAGGCAAGTCTACTGATTCGCAGGGATGCCCCTGTTGCTCTTCCCTTATCAGGCAAGATGAAACTGGCCCAGCAGGTGAATTTTCAATGGCTACACCCCCAATTTAAGTGACCCTGCTCGGGTGATAATATTACCGTCTTTCAGGTGTTATCTAACATGCTCGCAAGCGCTTGGCATGTTTTACGGAGGAGCGCCTGCGGGTCCTGCTGGAACTGGGAAGACGGAAACGGTGAAGGATATGGGACGGACTCTCGGAGTTTTTGTGGTGGTTACTAATTGCTCGGACCAGCATCGTTTCAGCGATATGGCTAAGATCTTCAAAGGTCTTTGCCAGAGCGGCTTATGGGGATGTTTTGATGAATTTAATCGTATTGACCTGGAGGTCTTGTCCGTCGTCGCCATGCAAGTTAGCCTGCACATACATAGCCGTAAATGTAGTATCACCATAAACGTAGAGGCTACTGGTAGCGTGCCTGCTAAATCAAGGGTCAGGCAAAGATTAAGTCCACAGCCCTGTGCTCTAACTTGTTCCGTGAGCGTGCCAAGGTGTGAACATGAAATTGCCTCATATTGGAGCGAAGTTGCTCAGAAATTAGGTATCCATGTGCCTGCAGATAGAGTCCATAACTTTGGCAAAAAAGCAAGCACTAAAGGCGTTTCTCTTTCCTGGCGAATCTGCACCTATCAAGCTCGTTCCTACCACCGCATACTTTATTACTATGAACCCAGGGTATGCTGGGAGGCAGGAGCTGCCAGAAAACCTAAAGGTCTTGTTTAGAAGCGTGTCCATGATGGTACCCGACCGACAGATTATTATAAAGGTAAGCTGGACCGTTATGAACATCGGCATTTCCACCACCTGTGAGTTATAGGTTTGGGTCAACCGCTTGCATCACGGTCAGATCGCCCAGTCCGGCGTAGGAATCCCGTAGTCCAATGTTCTGCGCATCAGGGGTAATATTGTGCTGTTGGTCTTCATCCTTTCAAAGTTTAAAGGCAGCAATGCAGCTGCAGAGAGACCAAGCTCCTAGCGACATGTTTCTTAGCCCGATAAGCACTTCGGGAGCACACAAAGAGAGCATATATTTCAGCCATAAAGATCCAGAGAGCTCGCAATATTAAATCGTTGCCTTCACCGAGCCGGTAGTGTGATTGACATTTTCAGGTCAAGTTGGCATCTGTTGGCTATATGGATATCGACAACCTGTCAAAAAAGTTCAAAGTGTTATACGGTCTTTGTGAGGAGCAACTTTCCAAGCAGCGGCACTATGACTTTGGCCTAAGGAATATTCTGTCCGTTCTCAGAACCGCAGGTGCAACGAAGCGCAGCGAACCAGATGCCGACGAAGAGATGCTTCTCATGAGGTGGGGGTAGAAGTGAAATTTCCAAACAAGGGCTAATTGGTTGGTCATACCAAACACGTCATGTGAAAACGGATTTTAGGAAATGCCTACGGAATGAATGAGTGCAGAACCCTTCGCGACATGAATCTCTCCAAACTCGTAGCGGACGACGTGCCGCTCTTTCTTTCCCTTCTCAACGATATCTTCCCTCGCCAAGCAAGCCCACCCAAGAAGGCCTACCAAGAAGTAGAAAGCGCCGTAATGCAGGAGCTCCAGATGCGTATGCTGGTTCGAACTGACGAGTTTTTAATTAAAATCATGCAGCTTTATGAGGTAAAACCCCCATAGCACTATCCTACATAGGACCATAAATAAGGAGCACCAAGACACTCTCGAAAACGTAATGCTTGTCATTTCAGTACCAATGCGCGCTGCTGGCCCTTTATTAGACTTCCGTCGTCCGTCACGGTTTTATGCTAGTTGGAAGCTCTTGCTCTGGGAAGACCACGATCCTCAATGCCCTTGCAGCAGCACTGACAGCCACTGGACAGCCGACACGTATTGTAACAATGAATCCAAAAGCAATTACTGCCCAACAGATGTATGGTGTCAAAGATCCAATATCTGATGAGTGGACTCCAGGAATTTTTGCCTGGATGTGGTCGCGGTACAACAACCGCGCTCTCAAGTTCAGCACCTGGATAACTTGTGATGGCCCCGTTGACGCCATCTGGATTGAAAATCTTAATACAGTGCTGGATGACAACAGGATTTTGACCCTTGCAAACAGCGACCGTATTCCAATGACTGAAAATACAAGGTACTTACCTGACAGGAGTGCACCAAAACGACGACACTGGATCAGGCAAAAGAATGTCATTTTTCATTTGACTCTCTACAAGGTAGACTGTTAATGCCAATTAGCCGGTTGTCTACCTTACAAGTGCGTGCTGTATGAAATGCTGGACTCAGGATTGTATTTGAAGTAGAAAACCTTAACAATGCTTCGCCAGCTACTGTCAGTAGAGCTGGCATCATATTTATCTCTGCAACAGACCTCGGATGGAAGCCTCTGATCGACAGCTGGCTACAGCGGCTGACCTCTGATTGCCCTGAGCGAGCCTATAAAAGCAAAATCTTTAGCGATTTATTTGAGAAGTAAGCGTCCAAAAGCTTGCGTTCACGAAATAGTCTCTAGGGGAAGATCACAGGCCTCCTTACTTCGTCCTACGTTTTTTGACGCATTAGAGTGCCTCTGTGTTAATTGAGTGACCAGGTATATTTACGCGCCACAAATCCTTGAGTTTACGCTTCGAGAATGCAGTCCCGTGATGCAAGTAACTCCAGTAATGGTAACTGTTCAGCTACTGAACTTGCTGTCATGCATACTGCTACCCTATGAGGAAAGTGCCGAAATGCTTACGCCTCAAGAGTATGAAAATATCATGGCGTATGCTGTCGCATGGTCCTGTGGAGCCCTGCTCGAGCCGGAGGACAGGATGAAATTCAATACCTTTCTACAGGAGAAGGTCTCGGTTCCTTACCAGGGAGAAGCAGGCCTTACAATTTTTGATTACTTTGTCGATCAGAAGACCAGGGAGTTTCGCCAATGGGCGGCTCCTGAGTGGACTCCACCTAAGGGGCCTTTCTCCTTCTCTTCCATTTTGATTCCGACCCTAGACTCGCAAAGGTTGGTGCAAAAGTGACTTTAACATTGTGGCAGTGCGTTATATGCAGTATCCATCGGCTTCCCAGATGCAGATGCATGGACTTTTAGTGAAATTCTATGCGCGATGTGCTTGATAGGGCTGAGTACATAATCGACCACGTGTCCAAATTGCCGCATTCACCGAATCCTCCGTCGTTCCAATCGGTTTTACTTCTCGGAGGCCCGGGTACTGCCAAGACATCTACAGTTCTCATGTTCCTACAAAAGCTGGATTCAAACGAAACGTTATGGAGGAGAGTCAACTTATCTTCCGCGACACTCCCTGAGCGCTTCCAGCAGACAATCGAATCAAGCCTCGAACGTAAAACAGGAAAGACCTATTGTCCGCCGGGGGGAAAAGACATGATCTTCTTCTTGGATGATATGTCTATGCCCTTCGTAAATGAATGGGGTGATCAAGTAACACTGGAGTTACTGCGCCAGTTGATCGAGCAAAAGGGTTTCTACTTTTTGGAAAAGGATAAAAGGTGAGGTTTTCTTGCTGCATAGTGGCGCGCCACCGCGAAGTGTGTTCCGAAGGCGACTTGGTCCAGCACGTTAATACTTTTCGTGGATGTGACCGTGCACTGACCGACTACTTGTGGATACGTAGGGGAGACTTTAAAGCAGTTATTGGCCTGAAGTATATTGGAGCGATGAACCACCCTGGGGGTGGGCGCAACGATATTCCCAATAGGCTAAAATCTAAATTCTTTTCTCTGAACATGATACTCCCATCTTTGACATCGGTTGACAACATATATGGGGCCATGATGAGGAGCAGGATTACACTTAAGAACGGCGCCACTCCACTGGTGAGACTATATTATTCTGGCTTCACGGTACATATATCCGTGCAATAATCAGGCTGAAGAACTCTCGCATGCAGCTGCGGGCCCATGAGTAACCCGTCGGTTTTTGCCTCAGGTCGTCGAAGTGTCATCAAAATTGACGCAAGCTACGATTGATGTGTGGCTTGAAGTTAAAAAGTCCCTGTTACCCACACCTAGCCGCTTCCACTACATATTTAACCTACGCGATCTGTCTCGCGTGTTCCAAGGGATACTGAACTGCCCAATCGATAGCGTAAATACTCATGAGCTTTTCCTCGGCCTGTGGAAGCACGAATGCACACGCGTTCTGGCAGACAAGCTCTGTAGGAAGGGTGACAAGGCCATTGTACAACAGGCAATTAATAATGCATGCATCAAACATTTCGGTGTAGAGCTCCAGAAACGCATTCCCGACACTCCGTGGTACTTTGTACACAGAAGAAGTATCCTTACCGTGCCGAAATTGGGGCTGTGTCCCTTGTAAAATACATTTTTTCACTAGTGCAGCACATAACTTCTCTGCGCAACCCAACGCATCGTAAATATTAACTGCAAAGTAGAAGTAGAAATGCCTATTCGTCACCTAATTTAGTGTCAATGTCCCTCGAACGGTAACTATTTCGCAGGTTTGCAGATTTCCTTGGGGAGCCGAGTGAAGATGAATCTGTAGAGTTGCTGCCTGCGCAAAAGCTTTATGAGCCAGTCCCAAGCTTGCAGCTGGTCAGAACTCGGGTAATGGAGTACCTACAGCGCTTCAACGAAGAAAATCCGGCGAGGATGGCCAACTTAGTACTGTTTGACGACGCCTTGGCCCACTTAATGATTATATCAAGAATTATTCAGGCATGCCACACCTAAAGCAGAGTCAATAGTACAAGGTAAGGGGCCACTGACGTAGGTGCAATGGATTGTTTTGCACTCGTGCAAATGGCTGTTGTCACAGATGCCACGGGGCTCGGCAATGCTGGTCGGCGTCGGCGGCTCAGGCAAGCAGTCTCTCACGCGATTGGCAGCGTTTATCGGAGGTCATACACAGTTCCAGATTGCCATTACCAAAACATATAATGAAAGTGCTCTGTTTGACGATTTTCGAAACCTCTACGTAAATACCGGACAGAAAAATCAGCCAACAACATTCCTCTTGACGGACTTAGAAATAAGGAATGAATGTTTTCTGGAGTACTTCAATTGTTTTCTCTCAACTGGGGAAATATCGGGTCTCTTTCCAAAGGACGAAATGGATGGTACGCGTCGTGGAGGCTGTTGCGTCAACTAGAAAATCGCAGGGGCACTCACGTAAGTTCTCGAAGTTTCTGCCCTTCACGACACTTTTCATGCAGCATTCTGCTGTGTGTGTACCTCAGTCATGGTAGCGGATAGAAGGGCCGACTTCGTCAAAGAGTGCCCCCATATGGAGGAAACCATGACGAACATGTATAACTTCTTTCTCGATCGTGTCCGAGCAAATTTGCATATTGTCCTCTGTTTCTCTCCTTTAAGCAGCAAATTCTCAGGTAAAATTGTCAAGGATGTTTGTACACAGAAGATGCAGCTTGAAAGACTGATGTTGGTCTTAAAACATCCAACTGGCAGCACGCCTCTGGGGGTGTATGATACACAGTGAAGGGACCAGATTCCACTTCTGATACAAATGCACCGACCGAGGCATAGAATCACGCCAATCATTTGTAGCGTGCCACTGCTGTTAGAAGTCATATTGCTCTGCCGATAATTGTTTTCTCCAGAAAGGGCACAGAAGTTTCCCGGGCTGTTCAGTTGCACCACCATTGACTGGTTTTTGCCATGGCCTGAAGCAGCCCTAGTCGCAGTGTCATCGAGTTTCTTGGATACGTTTGAGATTGACGCAAGCCCAGAGAAGAAGACTATGCTTTACAACATAATGGGAAGAATACATAGCAATGTGAGCACTGTGACAGCATTTGGACTCACCGCAACGCTGGAGCTTGTCCTGATGGAAGGCATGGACGGCAGTAAACTGCCATAGTACGGATATGGATATACGAATAGTGTGTATATACATAGGTGAAAGAATCAAGCCGGTGTGTGTAACTGGTTTTATAGATCTCTGTTTCTAACACTGGCTGATCTCATAGGTAAACACAGCATGCAACGGGTATTTCCGGCGCATGCGCCGCCATGTCTACGTGACACCAAAGTCATATCTTTCATTTATTAACGCCTACAAGACTATATACAAAGATACCTTCGACGACGTAAACAACCTCGAACGCAGGTAACGCTTAACGAGGAAAACCAATCAAACTAGGACAATCTTTAAGAGCCTGTGAGAAGGGCAAGTTGTATTCTATACCGTGTGCCTGACTGTTGCAGTGTGAACGTTGGCTTGAAAAAGCTGAACCAAGCCGCACAGGACATAAAGCAAATGAAGACACAGCTAAAGGCTGAAGAGAAACAGCTGCAAGAGTCAGAGTTCCAGACAAACCAGCTGCTGGCTAAGGTTCAAAGCGAGTCGGCCAAAGCAGAGAAGAAGAGTCAAGGGGTGTGCACAGCAACATTGAGATACGGACGCCATGCCACGACTGAAAAGATTACTGTAGATTGCCTAAATCTTTAGGACTGCTGAAGGGGGAATAAGTCACGTTTGATCCCTGCCGGTTGTGCATCTCCTGTGGGCTCTGTACTTAGGTGGCAGCCTTTCGCGACGAATGCCTGAAAAACAAAGAAGAAATTGAACGGGAGCAAGAAGACGCTAACAACGATCTGCAGGCTGCTTTGCCTTACCTTCGTGAGGCTGAAGACGCTGTCAAGTCCATTACAGCAAAAGATATAGTTGAGCTGAAGACTATGAAGACGCCCTCGGACATTATTCGCCTGGTCTTCGACGGCGTCCTTATCCTTTTGCAAAATCGACTCGTAGAGGTCAAACCCGAGTCGAAGGTGATAAATAAGAGACAAATCGAGTTCATCCATGATTCGTTTGACGAAAGCGCAAAGGCCATGATGGCTGACGTTCATTTTCTCCCCAATCTCTTCGATTTCTCGAGGGTTGGTTCCTATTCCTATCCTCTCCCACCTTTTACCCAAGTTGCTGCCGTACTGTTACAACGGCGAACGTAGAGGGTGTATACGACTAGTAAAATGCGCGGATGACTAGCATGAAGCTTCGTGAAAGTCTGAGAGGATGATTCCACTAATTCTGCATATGTAATGCGCTACGTTGTTGAGAAGAAAGAGAAGGACAACATCAACGACGAAACATGCGAACTGTTGTTGCCGTACCTCGAACTCGAACACTTTAATCCGGCAGTTGCTAAAAAGGCGTCTAACGCTGCTGAAGGTAGGGAGTAAATGTCATGATTTGACAAAACAGGGAGTCCTGGACTGGCCCCACAGTTATTGCCTGTGCGCTTACCTTGTAATCTCGAACAAGCAAGCAAAAAGCCTGCATACACTGTATAATGTTCCGCTTTGCTGTGGTAACCTTTCCTTTCCCTACACCTTATTTTACAGGCCTCTGCAAATGGGTTGGAGCCATGGTGATGTACCATGAGGCAGCAAAAATCGTCAAGCCCAAAATGGACTACTTAACAGTACAAACTGCCAGGTAAGCTTAGAGTCTTGAAGGGGAAAACAGCCAAAGTCCATGCCCATGTGCACATCTGCGAGTTAATTTAGGTTTCAACACTACTTTTCCGAGATGCACATATTAGATCCTGTCATTGGAGAACGTTAGCACTATATGAACACCTCATGCAGGGTTCATACCGCTTTGCGTCAGCTAAGCGAAGCAGAAGACGAGCTAAGGAAAGCCCAAGCCATGCTAGATGAAATTAATCGCCAATTCCAGGAGGCCCTTGCATCAAAGCAGGAGCTAGAACAAAGGGCACAAGCCACAAAGCGGCGGATGGAACAGGCAAACAAGCTCATCAATGGGCTTGCAGGAGAAAAGGCTCGCTGGTACAGAGCTGGTAGCGTGTGTTGTTGGCATCTGTGTGTCAGCTATGCGAGGTTATGCAGTATAGTAATGTCACTCAACTGCATGTGTGATGCGTGTGGTGCGTTTCTGAAAGGACGGAAGACTCCAACATGTTTGCTGAACGAAGAAAACGCTTGATCGGTGATATCTGCATAGCTGCTGGCTTTATTTCCTACTGCGGACCATTTAACGCCGAGTACAGGGAGCTGCTAAGGAAACAGTCAGTTTTCCTATGTTTCAACCACATTTCTAGATACAGAATGAGTTATGCAGTTGAAACTGCATGCATTGAAAAAAGGTATGGGTGGTAAAGCGGTCTCGCACTGTGTTGGCACATGTTGTGTGACTTGGCATGCTCAGGACTATGGTGCAAATTTGCAAAAATAACGAGATCCCGTGTTCTGACTCGATTAATATAGTCGAGATCCTTTCCGATGAGGCAACTCGCGGCGAGTGGACCCTACAGGGACTCCCTGCAGACGAATTATCAGTGGAGAATGCCATCATAGTCACTCGGTCCGGAAGGTATCCGCTGCTTGTAGATCCCCAAGGCCAGGCCCTGAAGTGGATAAAGAAGAAGGAGGAGAATGGCATGAAAGGATCTCGTCAATGCATTACAACGGAAAATGACCCCAGGTAAGCGAAAATTGGGCCAAATGTGCTTCGCGCGCACCTCCAAAACGGCCAAGAAGCGTTTCACCGATTTTGCATAGCCCTAATTCCAACGGCAGTCAAGAAAGAGTGCACCCGTTTCATTTGACTGCACGCAAATAACTCGTGCAAGCTTTCTCTTTGTACCAGTTTGGTTTGAGGGAAGGCACTTCGGTGTGGATGTTTTGGTTTTTTTATCCGGATCAGATTCAAAGACAAGGTAGAGTTTTGCCTATCGGAAGGCCTGCCGGTATTGATTGAGAACCTCGGAGAAACCGTGCCAGAAGCGCTGGATGCGATTCTAGAAAAGCAGTTCACAAAAAAGGGTAAAAGACTCTACGTTTTATTCATGGACCAGCAGGTGGAATGCAGCCCATCATTTGCACTGTACATGACCACGAAGCTAGCGAATCCCCACTTTTCCCCCGAGATCAACGCCAAGTGTACCGTAATCGACTTCACTGTCATGCACGAAGGTGTGTACAAAATCCGACAGCTTCTATTAGGACTGGACGCTTGGCAGTGTCGCTCGCCGACGGCTTCTGTTACTCCCTCCATTAAAAGTCATTCCTAAAAAATGCTGCTTCGTTTAGGTCTAGAGCAGCAGCTTCTTGGTCGTGTGCTTTCCATGGAGCAACGCTCCTTAGAGGAGTGCCTCAATCAGTTGCTTGAGTCGGTAACCGCGAACACAAAAGCACTGAAAGAACTCGACAGCCATCTACTAGACCGCCTTTCTCATTCTTCTGGAAATCTGTTGGATGACATAGAGCTCATTGAAGTGCTTGCAAATACAAAAGCTAAGGCAAAGGAAGTTGAAAAAAAGCTAAAAGATGCACAAGAAAAGAAAACAGAGGTATTGTGTCTACTTCTGATAATTCATAATCTTAGCTTGCCTTTGGGCGATTGGGAATAGTCTCAGTTTCTCCTACGCCACCGACACCCTGTAGCAGTTCATCGGTCACGAGGCAATTAGCTCTTGATTTTGATTAATAATAATGTTAAACGACTCTATCGCTGTAAAGATCGTTATATGCTTATTTCACACACGCATTCAGATCAACGAAAAACGTGAGCAATATCGACCAGTAGCAACAAGAGGCTCGGTTCTCTATTTCTGCATGGTCGAGGCGTCATCAATCTGTTGGATGTACAACAGTTCCCTCCTACAGTTTCTCGAGCAATTCGACCTCTCCGTGCAGAGATCGGAGAAGACCCAGCCAACACAAAAGCGTGTTGAAAAGATAATTGAATACCTAACTTACCAGGTGCTCATATCATACTGGGTGACAGCTAGCCGTTACAGTCAAGCTCATTCAAAGCTAACGCTTCTGCCGCTGCAGAAATGAGGGATAAAGGCCCATTGCCTTGCCGTACACTGTCGCGTAATTCAACTTCTAGATAGACTTAAGTGCATAGACTTTTCTAATTTGATGGAAAACGAGCAGTTATGTTTGAATATGCGCACAGGTCTACCGCTATGTCTGCCGAGGACTCTTCGAACGACACAAACAGACTTTCGTCATGATGATCATGCTGAAAATTCTGCAGATCGATGGAGTCCTTAAAAGCTCAGATATTTCGTTGCTCCTTAACGGCGGGGCAGGTAAAAATCTCTCTTCTGGCAAAATTCCAAGTACTAGCCCTACGACCAGTCCGCTCTGCCTACAGTTTGGCGCCCCGTGCTGAGGGCCAGAGAGCCGCGGTAGACCTTTCTTTCAGTGCGCTAAATTACGCACGAGTGTCTTTTTGGGTATTTGGTTGGAGGGTTCATTCGGTGCTACTAATTTGCAGGCCTTGACGAGAAAGTGGAACGTCCTTGTCCTTATAAGTGGTTAGGGCAAGACTCAAAGATATGGCTGAACATATTGCAGCTTTCCAGAACAAGCTTTGGCGGGGACCAAACTCAGCTATTCTGTGAGCTTCCGGATTCCTTAGGAAAAAGCGAAGCTGCATGGAAAAAATGGATGGAAGACAATGAACCAGAAAATCTACCAATCCCAGACTACGAAGACAGGATCAAATGTCGAAAATGCCTTGGGCACATTATTAGGCTTTGCCTTGTGAGAGCTTATCAAATCACCTGAGGCAAACTATACACCATAACTAGCTTTAAAAAGCATGAATCTTCCTCAGTAACTGCAGAGGCGAGTGATTGCTAAATTTTTTTCTGCAGGTTCGCTGCATCAGACCGGACAGAACCATGGTCGCTTCTGCACGCGTCATTGATGAGCTTCTTGAACCAAAATACACAGAACCCGTTACAGACTCAATAGAGTCTATATGGAACGAGTCATCTTGCCGAACACCAGTGATGTTTTTGTTGTCCCCTGGAGCCGATCCCACATCAAGTATTGATGAAGTTGCGAAAAAAAAGCGGAAGTTTCCAACTGACAAAGTATCAATGGGAGAAGGCCAGGAACTTGTTGCGAGGGAGAAGATAAAATCCGGTTTCCTCTCAGGCAGCTGGGTTGTCCTGCAAAACTGTCACCTGGGATTGAACTTTATGCACGAAATAGAAGAACTCCTCATCCGTGTTACAGATATCAACAGGGTATGTCCAAATGCATGTCCAAGTAGTCCTGTCTCCAAAGGCTCACCCTCAATCGGTATTGCAGTCTTGGCACTTACCGTTGAGCATTTGGGCAAAATGTGCAGTCTTCAATGTGACACTAGACAAGGTTCGTCCCCAGTGTTATTGTTCTCTGAAGGCTGCTTTCTGTACAGGAGTTCCGTCTCTGGATTACTTGCGAGCCTCATAATAGGTTTCCCATTGGCCTTCTGCAAATGTCGATCAAAGTTACTAACGAGTCTCCCGTTGGGCTCAAGGCAGGTCTAGCTAGGAGCTTTACAACGGTGATCACTCAGGAAACGCTAGACAAAGTGAACCACGAAAAATGGCGCACCATTGTCTTTGCTATTGCAATGCTGCATAGCGTTGTGCAAGAGAGGCGAAAGTTTGGTGCACTAGGTTGGTGCATCCCCTACGAATTCAATTATTCAGATTTGGAAGCATCTCTTTCTGTAGTAGAAAAGCATCTAGCATCTACAATTTTGATTGGGCAGCCCGTTTCTTGGTCTGCAATTGCGTATATGATCGGAGAGGTACAGTATGGAGGCCGTATTACCGACGACTTGGATAGAGAGGTAACGAATACTGAGCGCGGGAGGCCGATTTCTTACTATTAAAGCTAGAGGTACCTTGCATGAGCTGAATGGAGAGGAAATATGTGTTCCTTAATAGCTATGAGCATACTGTATCTGGAAGAACGTTGATTGTTGCTGTCATATCCAATCAGATGTTCAGCACTTATACCAGGAAATGGCTAACGGATGACCTGTTCAAACCAGGTTTCTGCTTCAACAATACACCTACGAGCCCCCACGAATTCAGGTACAAAGTACCGCAAGGCACTGATATATCGGCCTTCCGTGACTACGTTAATACACTGCCATACGTCGACCAGCCCAGCATTTTTGGTCTCCATGTAAATGCTGACTTGACCTTCCGGTTGCAGGAGTCCAGCTGCATGCTGGAGACATTACAGGTGTGTCAAATGCTTCCTAACTCTACTACAGACATAGTAGCTGGCAAGCGTAGAATCTAATTACGATAGCAAACTTGACATCCGGGGTGTTAGATTATTACATACGAGTGGGAAATGGGTTTCCTCAGGGTACATTACCGAAGTCATCCTCTGTTGAAGACGGTAAGTCTAGGGAAGAGAGTGTGCGAGAAAAATGCTTGGAGTTATTAGACAAAATACCGAGCGACTACAACGAGAGAGTATACAGAGAGCAGGTGTCCAAACTCTCTGGACCTCCTTCACTGAACGCAAAGGGCCTGGCCGCACCACTCAACATCTTCCTCTTCCAAGTGCGCACGTGGAACAACACATGGAACCATTCTCGTTCATTTCGCCCAAAGATATCAACCGGTTTTACGAACAAAGGGATTTGGGGCCTCCCTGAGCGACTACGTCGCAACACACGAATGAGCGTTTCCCACTTCCGGTGTGCATGGACCCGTGAGTCTTAGGATATGATCGCGGTGTGCGTCAGTTTATTGTTTATTTTTTCAGGAGGTGCAAAGAATGCAGCGAATTTTGTCGATTGTCCGCTGTAATTTATACATGATCATCAGTGCGATTGACGGTACCGTGATAATGACTCCGCACTTGCAGGTGCACTCGGCAACTAGCTACAGCGCGATCCTCACAAAGCTTTCCATTCTAAAGCTAGAGACGGTGTTTTGAAAGCTTATGTAACCGGTTACACACTACTCTTAGAGATCGGCCGCTGATTTCTCGACAGAAAATCCCTAGCGTAGAGGTGTGGTGGGTGTCCCCCAGGATGATGTAGCAGCAATATTTGACCTACGAGTGCCACGAAGATGGACACGAGACCCCAGTGGTGCAGAGATTTCATGGCTGTCGCCAGCCCTTGGAAAGTGGATATCTGGAATGCGATTGAGAACTGAACAGCTGTCAAGCTGGCTAGAAAAGGGTCGCCCAAGGTCTTTTTGGTTGCCGGGCTTCTTCAACCCTACTGGTTTCCTTACTGGGATGATGCAGGAGGTAACCCGTCCCGCCACACTAGTGCTACTAGATATTTTAATTTTAGCAAGCTTTCATATCCCAAAGAAGAGAAACAGATGGACACCAACAAGCGTTGCGCAGGGGAAAACAGGTTATTTCGTTGTGGATGCATATATACAGGTCACTAGGCAGCACAAAAAGGACCAGTGGGCCCTTGATGACGTTGTGTTGCACTCCGAAGCTCGCAGCGTGGACGTCGAGAAACTTAAAGATGTTCCAGAGGAGGGCGTCAATGTCCATGGGTTGTATATCGAGGGCTCGAGGTACGCGAATAACACTATGCATGACTTGGCCTTGTGTCTCCTAATTAGCAGTCTCCCCTTTGTTCGCCATTGTACAGTCCATCTCGCGCGTAATTCCAGCGAGTTGCATATGCTATGTGTAACAACACTGCGCCTCCAGATGGAACTGGCATGAGTCAAGGCTTGATGAGTCATTGCCGAAGGTCATGATAGACAGAATGCCTGTTGTCCACGCCACTGCCATCACGACTAGAGAAAAGCGGAACAAAATTTTGGAGTATGGACAGTTCGAGCCATATGACTGTCCAGTGTATAAATACCGAATTCGCACAGACAAGTACTTGGTGTTCCGCGTGCAGCTGCGCTCCGATGTGCATCCTTCCCACTGGAAGCTTAGAGGAACTGCACTGCTTTGCTCTACAGAGTAAAATTTCTCGCGAGCTGAATGTCGGGCATCAACGCTTGCCCCAAGTTGCAGTCATTTAATTACTCTAATGACAGCTTGACTTGCCAAATGTCCAGCCAACCGTGTTTGTCTCATTTTCTCTTTGTACTAACCCAAGGTATGACTTGAAGAACCTTGTCTTATAATTAGTGTTAGGGGCATAGTTTTCAGCAAAAGGCCCTTCTAGACTACGAATGCTCTTCCTACAGGCGCTCCTGCTCTACACCAGCTGCTTCTGTGCTATCATAGTGCCTATGCAAGCCCACAATGAATCAATTTTGTGATCGCCCATTCCTGATCAATTTTGGTGCTCTTCTGAGTCTCCTCCACACGGTGGGCCAGCAACAGTCTCCAATGTTTGCTAGTTGCGTGTGTGCGGTCATCCGAAATACGAAGATCACTTTATACAACCGTCCTATAGATCCCATGCCAAGTCTTTTTTGACAAAGAATCATAGTCTACTCAACTGTATGAAGGCAGTGGGACTAATATCTGCACCCACGTTTTCGCGCTTACTGAGCCACACCCTGCTCCTCTACGGATCGGACGCTAACACTGCCTACAAGAATTTTTGCAACAAAGTACAAGTCAGCTCTGTGCAACACAATGACTCTAAAACCACTAAGTGTTGGGAGGTCGTCTTGGTGTGTACTGTTGCACGGAATCCAAGCAGTAGCTCAGAATATTAGCTTGCCTCTTGGTCCAGTGGATGGCAGTGCCGACGTGGCCAGAGGCAGATAGCTGAGACACAAACTATTGGTACCTTTCCATTCCTCGGCTCAATCTCTTTGTCAGGATGTGTTATGCAGAGAATAACCCTAAACGGTAGCAACGCCAGGCATGTAATTTTTTGTGAATCGTTGGAGTTTCGCAAAAGCTTGTTTAGATTTGTGGCAGGGGCGGTAAAAGGTTCTAGTAGGCACTGGTGTTGCAGGTAGTTAAATCGCTTAGGTATAAGTATTTCTAGAGGTGCTGCAGCTTAGATCAAACAGTATAAAATGCAGTCGTGGTAATTTGACTAAAATAACCTTCCTTTGAGTTTACGGTGAAGAAAAACACATAGACAGAGTTACACTTCCTAGTCGAGTGTGGGTAGAAGGTCTTTAAGCACATGAAAACAAAGGTGACAAACTAGTGAGCTAGGACAAGGCAAATGCATTCGATGGACATATAGCGCAAAATTCCTGTACATGTGCCATGCACACACTGCATACGATAATATGGCCAAGCCCTTCCATATTCTGATCCTTCCGTCCAGTGCACCACGTAGAGCCGGGCCCCACTGGATCGGTACAGCAGACGGAGCGAGAGGCGCGATCTGTAGATTGCTGGTATTCATAGTGCTAGCAATCACCTTCGATTGCGCCCTGACGTCATAGGGCTGCGGTACTTGCTTGCAGGGTAGGAAAAGTATAGGCCCTTCTCCACTGGATGCGATGAAATTATCGCCAAACGGGATGAACATGATGCATCGCTGGTCTCCATCTACTGAGGAATTTCAGAGCACACATGAATTACCGAAGGCTGAGTGTCATGGGTCGGCGCAGCACCAGGTATGTGTAGAGTTGCCTGTAGATGACAGGGGGTCTACCCCAGCCTATCTCATAAGACAGGTTAGTCGCTGACTGGTACCAGCACAGCTTCCATATGTTGCAGCAAGCCGAAACGGGGTGGCGTCACTGCGTTTCTTCCTATTGAAGGACACAAAACGCATCATTCATTGTGGCAGATAAAAACAGCACAACCCAAGAAACAACTCAGAATCCCATTATTGGGGTTATGGACGTTGGGTCTGTTTGCACGTCCTCTTATTCAAAGCACAGGCGTTGACAGTCTTGCCGCAGGCCATTAATAGCCATGCTATTTTTCAAACCATCGCCTGTGGCCGAGGAGTGGGCTTACACGCCCCCTCGCCTACGTTTCGAAGGAGAAAGAAATCATCCATCATGTCTCTGGGTGGTATTGTGCTAGCCATTATCAATTAATAGAATATCACGTGCCGCTCAATGATCAGTAAGGTCTTAAAAGGCTTTGCTCAGCCCCACCATAGTCCATTGGTGCAAAATCCCCCACTAGCACCCCAAACCGTTCCTTGGGAGGCCAGATCCGTGATGGACAACTGGCGCTTCATAGACCTATAGTCGCTATGCCTTATATCTACTCAAGGTTGCCTCACACGATGGAATATTGAGTGCTAAAGAGATGACCACTGTAGCCCCTTAAGGAGCCATGGGAAGCAACGCACCTTTTCACCGTATTAATCCACCACGTGTCACCGAATTCCTTTCAAGCTTGTTTGACTTCAGCACTTGAGTTGGTAGCCATGTTGAAATTTTGTTGAAGCTCTGCGTGTCTCCGACTCCAGGTTGCTGGAGCATAGTCTGTCATCCTGAGGGCAAACTGTCGCCTGGGGAGTTCCCGTACCTCCCCAGCGGCTACGCTCTGATCTAACATGCTTCAGCGTAGAAATCGAATAATTTCTTTCAACTTGATGTTCAAACGTTGGAACACGCTAAAGCACACACCCTCCATTGTATAAAAATCAGCTGCAAAGACTCTAACGCCGTTTGATCGCACATAAATCTCGTCAGCGAGGCGCTCCACACAAATTCCGAACAGTGAATCTCCCACGCACTGCCAAAAGCACAGCTCTACCTTCAAGTATATGTAGGTTACAGAGCCTTGATTGCCTTATTGTATATTTCTTACAAAGCTCATGCACTGCAGCATTAGAGCACAGCGCAAACGTTGCCAGGAAACTCCGCACAGCACGCACGTTTCTTTCGGTTTCCGACTTTCGAGGCATTTGATGTCCCGACTGCGCATATATTGAAGGATTGGCAAAACTCTGCAGCTGGCTTCCTCTGCAATCGTAGTCCGCGGGAAAAGAATTGAGACAATTCGTGCCTCTATAGCAAGGTCTTCAATTCGTGTTTGCAATGAATGAGTAATCATCGATTTTGCTTCGCCAGAGCATTGAAATTTATTCTCAGGAGCAAAATGCTTGTGCTTACTGCCACAAGGTTCGAAACTGTTATATCTTTGACAACGTGGAAAAGGAATCACGCTGGAAATTTCCAACGTGCATAGAGACACATTTTCACGAAGTTGAACGGATTGGTGGAAGTACGAGAATGACGTAGGTATTGTATTCTAACTCTTTACAAATAAGAACATCAAGAATTAGGAGGTTTGGTGGTTATTGGGTTTCCTTCGCTGTGCAGCGTAGCTGGCGTGAAAAAAATAATCGACAGCAGTGCCGGTCAGACTAAAGCGTGAATCGATTGAGCGGTGGTAAATCGCCAAACGCCTGTGCAGTAGGAGAATGAGTGCTTTAGGTCTTGCTTAGCTTTGCAGGCCGTGCCGAGAGTCGTGTGTAGTCGAGGAGAAAAGGGTTTTTTCGGACACCTTCACTAGTATTATCATTAGTGCATTGAGACAGGTGTTATGCTTTTTTGAAAAACCGTCGAAGATGAACAATGTGCACGTCTCGCATCCTAATAGAAGCTCAGAATTTTTAAATGTCGTAGACTGGTTGTTAACTCAATGGCGCGGTATTTTCGTGGGAAGTTCATTCTAGTTTTTTGGTAAGTTTGCTGTACAATACGTTTTGCAGGCATAGGTGACGCCTATGTCGGCATGAAGGTTTTGTGTTAGAAATCTCCGTATGTACTAGAAAGACTTGAAATGTTATGCATGATGATTACGAGGAAGTAGCTTTTCGGGTGTGTAACAAGGTAACATTGGGAAAAAAAGTACACCTGACGAAGCGATCGGGGAGAAAGCTAAGCCCAGTACATACGAGCGGACAATCGCGTATGCATTTCGACAGAACTAGGGTATTAGTGTACTCGTCGACAGTGCATCATTCAGTTACCACACTTGTTATTTTGTGTGAAAACGAGCGAATGCACATTCAAGGGTATTAATGAATAATTTGTCAAGAGTGTGGTGCTGTGTAGCCAAGTTTCGTGCAAGCCTTTCGACGAACCTTAGCCTTGCAGCACAAGCCGACATTCGCTGAGTTTTCCATCAGAAGCAATGGCGTCAACACTTGTGATAACGAACACGAGATTTAAGGAAGTGGATTAGAATATGCGTTGCAGGTCACATCGGCATGAGCTGTCCTGTGTTTGATCACAAAATGCATGGATAGATGGACGTTCTTGCGCTTTTTATTTTTTAGCTTAACAGGTGAGCAAATGAGAGTAGCCATACTAAATTGACAATACATGTCTGTTGAAACTGTTGCTCGGTAATTCTATTACAAAGCATCCTGTGATTTTGCCTCAATGTACTGCGTCTGCACGCAGCTACAAAGGACTCAAGCTTGCGCATGTGAACACTAGGAAGCTATAGTGTCCGGATTAAGTGTCACGGTGTCTCAAAAGTAAACAATCGCTTGCGATTTGTTGGGCACTGTAAATATGTGTAACGAGAAATGTGCACCATGGATTAACCCAGACTTCAAAATCGATTTTGTATCTAGCCAACAGAATTTTCGCAGCTCTTAGAGAAATCTGTTCTCCATCCGTAAAATTCCATATTTAGCTCGAGGTCAAGGCTGCACCCGCTGGCGTAGCTGCAGATGGCGGAACCAAAAACTATGCGGGCGAAATGGATTTGCAAATACTCTAAACTACATAAATTAACAAGATATATTTGCACTGACTATTGTAATGTTTATAATTTTTCAATTCGTGAGAAGCGCTATTATGTACGTGATCGAAAAAATTGGAGAAGCTTTGATTTTTGGTTAGATGTGAATGCATGGAGAATTTTTTATGAAGGAAATTTTCTGTTCTACTCCAGCGCAATACATGTTCAGCGCACTAGTGTTCATGGCGTAAGAGGAAATTTACACAAGCAGCACGGATTGCAGAGTATAGGAGATTCATGGCTTGAAAAATAAATTCTCCTAATAGTAGGGATAACTAGGGTTTTTCAAGTAGGGAGAAAAAAGCAAAGGGATTAGGTAAAACT